GGCTTGCATCAAGGCCGCCCAAGACGTACGATGGATGGTACAAAGACGGAAAAACGAGTCCACGTGTGGGCCATATAAAGGGGCGGAAATTTGGTGTTGGATTTGATTTGATTCGATGTTGATGGAAAAGACATTACATTATTCGACTATTACGAGATCGAATGATTGTCCGCTTAATGAACAACAAAGGGGCTGGAGCCAATGGTTTACCGGCTGAGCTATTTAAACATGGCGGTGAAGTGCTGAATAGGTGCATGCATCAGCTTCCTTGCAGAATATGACTTTGACAGAATGTGACTAAAGTGTACTCCACCCATTTTATAAAAAGGGGATCCCACGGTAGCCTCCTAAGTATCGCATATAAGGTTCTGTCAAGCGCATTGTGTGAAAGATTAAAGCCTACCGCGAACAAGCTGATTGGGTCTTATAGTATGACTTTAGACCAGATAAATACACCATTGACTAGATATTCACCATGGGACCAGTCTTGTAAAATATCCATCCCATCTCTTCGTTGATTTAAAAGTAACATTACATAGCACAAAGGAGCAACGCGATTTCAGATACGGTAACAGCCATGTAGCTTGGTGAATTTTTAGTGCTACAGATAACCACTGTTCCGGTTCCGGCGAAGTCGATCATTCCCAGCGCGTTGGAAATGTTTCGCCATGGTGGCTCTAAATCGACAAGCACAATTTTTACATCGTGGCAGGGACATCGTTATTGGAAAAAGCACCTTTTTTCAAATGGTTCCTCTTTGACATGAGCGAAAATCAGGCATTAGTTGAAGAACTTCGCTTTGCTGTGGATTGTGGCGAGACTTTCTTCCAACGATATGAATGTCAGACCTCAGCGGCTGAGTCTCTCCCCCATATGCAACTAGGACCTACTCGTTTCAGCCTGATGTATATGTAGTACATCGCAAGAGTTGGCAGCGGCACCTTCCCAATTAAGGGACTGTCACCTTCTCCATTAAGAAGCCCTATGCTGGAATTTATTAAAGGTTTCGATAAAAGTGGTTTACAAACGTAAAACTTCCAGACAGTACGAATAAGTTTACCAGGACGCCGAATAAACTGAACGTACCTCCATTGGTTGGAACAAGGCAAGATTTGAAGGTAGAGTTCGGCCGAAAATCCCTTCAGCGGTTACAAAGCACCAATTAGATGTACATTTGCGCCCTCGATAGTCGAGTGGTTAGCATTGCATACTGCCACTAGGAAAGCCAGGGTTAAAGCCCTGGCCAGGGTGCGAACAACATCCAAAAATTATGAAAAATTTATTAAAATAAGAAATTAAGCTAAATATTCTTACTGCGGTCGCCCCTCGGCAGGGAATGTCAACCCCTCCGAGTGTATTTATGTCATGAAATTAAGGCTCATCATATAAAGCCATGAGCAGTTCGAAGGCATACCACAAATTCGAGGAAGAGCTCGGCCGAGAATCACTTCAGCGGTTACTGAGCGTCAATACTGGGCCTAGAAAACACCTAAAAATTTCACATTGAGAATTAGGCATGTGTATATACGCTACAACTACAAGTTTCGACACTTACTCTTACCCATTTTCATTCTACTTTCACCTACTACCTACCACCTACCACCTCCACTGCTGGCGTGGCATGGCAACGCGCTTTTGTTCACTCTCGCATTGAATGCGTCGAAGCACTTACTTGAGGCAATTAGGCAATTCCCTTGTTTGCAATTACACCCCTCCCACCCCAAACGCAGGGCCATAATTAGTGTATTGCCACCCACACCCCACACACAAGTGTGCTAGCATTCATTTTGTTAGTTATGCATGCATGCCTAAGTATGAGTACATACTCGTATGTACACACGTATGTATGTATGTATGTATGTATGTTTGCCTTCTTTGGTTTTGCCTGCCTTCACGGCCGCCATTTTTGCCGACATTTTAGCGCTTTCCGCCTTGCGACGCGTTGCTTTTCATTTGTAATTTGGGAAAATTACGCGAAAGTGTCTGTTATGGAAAGTGTAAGCGCACACACATTCACACACATACATATTCATGTGATTGGTATATAGCAAAAAAGCGAAGTAATTTTGTAATTATGCTGAGCGCAGGGAAATGGGCTCTGAGGAAAATGCGTACGAATTAACTGTACTTCAAAGTGTTGATATGCACATCTATTTACATACATACATATGCAGTTATATACATTAAATTGGACACATGTGTGAGTCGAAAACTCCACACATACATACATATGTACAGGAAAGCAGCGCGAGGGCAGAAGAGAACGAAGCGCGGGAGTACGAAGAACTTGAGATGCTGGTCGGCATGGAAAATGCTCTAAAGCTCATATATACTTTTGTAGTAGGCTATGTGGAGAGACTATCTGGTAGTCCTACACTTTATCGAGTGAGATTGCTTCATTGGGAGAATACTTCTATTAATTACCAGTCTACAAGGTCACCGGTGGTGAGAGCATTGGAAACTTTTGAAGAATAACCAAGCTGGCTAGAGCCAATGGCTTATCGACCGTCTGCCACTCTTTCGGCCACCTAATGCCGTTCAATTCAATAAGTTTCTAAGCAAAGATTAAAACTTTACGTCAAGAAGCAGAACAGGGTGCCTTAAGACCTAGCAGATCAGCCATTGACCAGATATTCACCATAATGACTTTCTGGAAAGGACCTCCTCTTTATCAATGTTGTGTTCTCGTCGACCCGAACCACATGACCTAGCGAACGTAACCGTTATTGTTGTAAGCGCAAAAAGTAGTTTTTAGGGAATTTTGCGTGAGTGACAGTTCTTGACCGGTTAAAAATCCGGATCATTCCGGTTTAAAGACCCGACTATCACGGAAAATATTCGATTTTAGTCGCCTCTTACGACAGGCATACCTTACCGAGGTAAATTCTTGAACGCCTAACCCGCTAGGGGCGTAACCGTTGTCTCTTGGTTCGCTGTATTATGTCAATCTCATCGCCTATCTCATACTACTCATTGCCTGCGGTATTTCGCGGTGCAAAAGCGCAAAATTAACATAAATCTTTCGCCAACACTTAATGCCGACTCACTCGAAGTTGTTGTTGTTGTAGGAGTTCACTAGTCCCGATAGGGACAGGCTAGTTAGTGTAAATCACCGAGGTCATCTTACGAGAGGTTCTCGAAACGAGCTGTTTCGACTGGTTCGGACCAGAGGAAGAGAGGGAGAGAGGTGTTAGTTGCTCCGATTTCAGGGGTCATGTAAAGAAGTGGTTAGTGTCGTGCGGAGACTCACTATATGCAGGATTGGTGTTTATTTAACTCCGAGGACGCCATTTACAGGGAGGGAGTCTTTGAATGTGTTAACCGACTTCTGGTGAATGGCGTTCAGTGCCTGTCTGTAAGCCGTTATGTCCAGTGGTTGTTGAACGTATTGCTGGATAGTGTCCTTTCTGATGTGCCTAGGTGGAGGTTCAGCCACAATAAGATGCCTATTGCAATAAGAACGGTGTTCTGGCAAATCTGTAGCTTCATCAACTGCGTCTCGTTCGTTCTCGGTGCCCAGATCGGCCGTACAATTGCTTTGTAGGCTTGCCATCAAGGTTGCTTTGTCTCATCCAATGTTGTCATTGTCCGTGTATCCCCACCGTGGAAGCCGAGTCACGACTGTTATTTTGTTGATGACAGGATCTAAATATTTCGTCGACTACCAGACAAAAAAGGTTCGCTTCCTCATTCCGTTTAGAGAAAACATAACTCAGGGCGCGGTTGTTGACGTATGTGATATCAATAAGCCAGCTGTTGAGCAGTTTTAAAATAAAGAGTCGCTTTGTCTGAAACTTCGTTTGGTTTCGACCGGCTCGGTAAGGTCCTTGCCAATCCCGGCGGAGTTTTTGATGTTGCTAATTGTTAGATTACACAGCCATATAAATTTTGCATAGACACCAAGGTCTGACACATGGTGAATATCTGGTCAATTGGAGATTTCCCAGGCCTAAAGTACATTTATAAGGTCCAATAAAATTGTTCACGATAATCTCGCTATTAAGGAGGCTTCTTCATAGTCGGACAATGCAGTATCTGATCCATCGTCATTGACTGACCCAAGAGGTTCTCAATCTTCTGATGCACCATGTTCCCCGCCATTCAACAGTCTGGTGAAGCGTTCGCTCTTTAAGCTCCATATAGTCTGGGCATCAATCGCTAGGGGTGATGCGATTCTACAAGAGTTTGCTAAGGTGTTGAAACCGTCAGCTGCTACATCTTCTCATAGAGTTTTCGACCATTACCCCTGTCGGCTAGCTTCTCACACTCTTTATTTTCCGCATCTCGGCCTATATCTTTTTTTTTTTGTCTGTATATGCATTCCTCTTTCACATTGTCCTTCTCAAATCAGAGATATGTTGAAAAGCTTTGCGGACATTCATCCCACGGGGTGAAAACCAGTACTTGGCGACTCAGCCTCTATCCCATTCTAAATCTGATACCAAGTTTGCGCTAATTATATTGTCCAGCGGAACCTTCCCAATTGAGGGATTGGCAGTCGCATGTTCTTAAATCATAGGACTTAATACGTTTGCAGTTTTCGTCATCAATAGAGAGGTGTTTCATCCAAAGATTTGTCAAACTTTTCATTCACAACCTCGCTAGACGTGTGGGTGTAAATTGTTTACACTTTTGTATAGCGAGCATCCTGAAGCCTCACCTCTGGTGAACAGGCGCTGCAATTAGGCATCAGCGAATCCTAAAAACTGATTATGTCGGAATGGCTCTACTGAAGCTTCCTCTCTAGAGCAGCATGGGTAGGTGAGGTGTTGTCGAGTATATAGTAATGATGATGCAAATATATTAAAAGTTTTATTTCTTGTTTTTTTTTCAGATTATCGTTAAAAAAATTAATCCTTCATTCTTTTTATTTCATCGCTTCACAGTACAAGCCTAAAACTCAAAACTGTAGAACAAAAATTAATTTGTGACATCACAAACTTTTTCCACCTTTATGTGTTTTTAGCCCTTTATTGAACTGAAGAGGGAAAATCGTAGAAGGCTGCAACACTGCCCGTGGGGAATGCTCCACTGTCAGCTGTCTGCTCCGCTGTTTTATTCCAGTCAATAAACTTGGATACGCCGGTGAAACTTTCGCAATACTTCTGTTCAGCAAAATACATTTCTTTTATTCTCATAAGTTTCAATAGAGTGGAAAAACAATAAAAGCATTTTTAAAATCAATACAATGTCGTTCCTCGCAAGGGCACTCTTCAGAAATGTAAGTGTGCGATGGGAGCAAACATTTGTTATACATAAATATAATTACGTAATTGTTACCTTGGCATGTTTTTGTGGCGTGTTTAGGTGCCGACTTTGTGCAAACGTGCCATCCGACAAGAATTAGCCGCTGGCCGGTTTTTGCACCAATGTAAGTTTTGTTATCATCCAAAAATAGATCATTGCATAGAACATAAATATAAATCTTTCCTTTTTCATTCAGCTGCTCCGCTATTGGCCGTAAAAGTTCAACGACCTGCACCGGACTTCAAAGGGCTGGCTGTTGTGGGCAATGACTTTCAAGAGATACAGCTCGCAGACTTTAGAGGAAAATACCTTGTGTTATTTTTCTACCCATTAGATTTGTAAGCAACAACTACTATTTATATTTCAACAACTAATTATTATTTTCTTTCCTCGTATTTTAGTACCTTTGTCTGCCCTACTGAAATCATTGCATTTAGCGAACGCATTGAAGAATTCAAAAAACTGAATGCTGAAGTTGTTGGCGTATCTGTAGACTCGCATTTCAGTCACTTGGTTTGGTGCAACTCCGAACGCAAAGATGGTGGTCTTGGCGGCCTTAATTACCCATTACTTTCTGATTTAACTAAAAAAATTTCCAGCGATTACGATGTGCTGCTTGATAATGAGGGAATTTCTTTGCGCGGCACCTTTATCATCGATCCTAATGGCATTGTTCGACAATATTCAATAAACGATTTGCCGGTCGGCCGATCAGTGGACGAAGTATTGCGCCTTATTAAGGCATTCCAATTTGTCGATGAGCATGGCGAAGTGTGCCCAGCCAACTGGCATCCAGAGAAGAATCCCGACACAATCAAGCCAGACGTTGCAGAATCAAAGGATTATTTCAAAAAACACGGATAAATGGGGAGTTTATACCGTCTTTAATTGTTTACCATTTTTCATATTAAATTCTGCATTTTACAAATAGAATTTTGTTCGGTGCATAAATTGGCAAGAAGTAAAGAAAAATCAAAGAATATTCTCAAGTACTAAGTTGCGTACTTTATATAGTTTTATTTGGTGAATGAATTAAACATGAAAATTACAAGTTTTGCATTTTAAAATACAAATTTTTTCTATAACTTTACAGGAGAATCCAACGAATTGATAAACGTTCAATTCTAAAATCAGTGTAAATTTAATATTTTTTGCATTTATTCAAACGCTCCGCTAATGTTGGTTGTCAATGGGAACTCATGCAGTGTCTGGCTTAAGCAATTGACAATATTATAATTTGTTTATTGACACTAGTTCTCTCTGGTTATCTTAACCACAAACGGTTTTTAATTAGATGGTGGTGGTGGTGGTGGCGGTTGATTCAACGCTGGCATACCGGGCGGTGGCGGCGCACATGGGGGTGGTGGCGGCACGCATGGCGGTGCTGGCATGAAGCTAGGACCACCCCATCCACCGAATCCGGGTGGCATCATGCCGCCTGGTGCTGGTGGTGACCATGGTGGCAATGGAGCTTGAGTGCCGGGAGGGGGTGGCAGCAAAGGTGGCATTGGGCCAGTACCTGGTGGCGGTGGTGGCAATGAAGCACCTGGTATTGGTGGTGGTGGTAATGCTTCACCGCCCGGTGGCGGTGGTGGTGCAGCACTAATCCATGGAGGGGGAATTAAGGGTGGCATTGGTGCAGCGGATCCACCCCAAGTGGGTGGAATAGGTGGCGGTGGTGGACCAGTATGCATGGGTGGCGGCACAGTTGTTGGCACAGGTTGTGCAATTGTTGGTGGCGGCGCTTGTATAGCCAATGTTTGTGCTGGCTTCTTATCGAAGAGACTATAACCACGGTTGAGGTGAACTTGAGCGAGTGGATCAACGGTGGCTTTTGGTGCGCTCGGCGGTGGACCTTCACCTAATTCAGCCATCAAACTCATATACTCCTCATCTATTTTAGCCTGTGAATCTTCAGTTGTCACTTCACCTGCGGCACCTGGTCGCTTACTGCGACAATCTTTTGAAATATGACCGGCACCACCGCAGGATGTACAAACAATACTGTTGGTCACATTGGGCTTATCAGGACACAACCACGACTTATGCTCACTCGAACCACAATTGGTGCAACGTGGGCAATCAGTTTCGCGCAATGTGCCATTCAATTGTGCTAATTCTCTCAATTGCATGCGACGCAAGTCATTATGGCCCTCCGGCACTTCGATGCCTTGACGTATGACGTCTTTAATCTTATCCACAGCTTTTTTGACAGCCTCTGGATTTGGTGCAGTGATAAATGCATGCAGTGGCTCATCTTCACCTGGCAATGGTTGACCATCTTTACGACCGACTTTACCCTCCTTTACGGAACCTTTGCCACGTATAATAATTTTAGCGCCCGTTTCTTTCTCCATTGCCTTTAAAGTATTTCCACGTGGTCCTATCAGCAGACCAACGAAATTAATATCAGGATGTTGTTCTTGTGGTATCAATACTTTATCGCTAACACGTGTTACTGGTGGTCTACGGAAAAAGGGAAAATATAAATTTTAACATTATATACAATTTAAATATTCAGCTTATTACTTGTAATCAGCCGGAGGTTTGAACTCCGGATTAACACTTTGCATTTTCTGTATCAATTGATGGCGACGCTCTTCCAGACGCTTACGAAAGCGGAATTCACGTGTATTCAGACGTTTGCCATCAGAACTATAAATTGGTTCGGGTGATGGTGACCTGCGAAAGATAAGTAAAACATCGTGCTCTTGAGATATTTTTCTTTTTTCTTTTTAAAGCAGAAATACTTTAGACGCAGTAATAAACACGTCTTCGTAATAATATTTACAATTTCAAAAAAATAAATAAATATATACAATGCTATATGGAGTAAGATATCTTGAAATAACTTAATATAAATTTCCTAAGCATATTCTGAAAATTAATTTTGTATAATTGGAATTAAATATCATCTGTGGTTAGGTTTCACTTTTGCTGGGGGTAAAAGAGAAAAATTTTAATTAATAGCGTTTATTAATTATTCTGCACTGCGGCATTTCAAACCGATTTTACAATAATTCAGCGTTCGAGCGTTTAAACTCATCGTTCTTGTGCCTCGTTGTAAATAAATCTTTGGCTCTACGGCCGTAATCTGCTATTAGCCATGAAAAAGAAAAAGTATCTTTTATTAGTTCAAATCTGCTAAATTAAATCCAAATATTAATTAATGTACTTAATATCCACATTCAAATTAATTCGCTGGTACTCAAAAAGAAATGTATTTATGAAGACATTTTTTAAAACAAAATTTTTAAATGAAAAAATTTACACCAACAAATTTTCAGCAGATAAATAAGAAGAAATTCTACAAGCGATTAAGTTTCTAAAAGGTACAATGACGCAGCTACAAACACAAAATTTTTGTGCAAATAAAATCTATACGTTCTTTACATTTAAGCCTATTTTAATTAAAAATCTGCATTTAATTTGAGAATTTGTTCAAATTTAGAGAAGAATAAAGGCGTATTCACTAGGAAATACACCTAAGTTTCTGTGAAATTATCAAATTCTGACTATAATAGAACATTAGTGAACAGTACTTAATGAACAGCAACGCTTTACACTTTTAAAGCATCACTTAAACCTGTTTATCAATCATATTTATTAAATGGTCCGACAGCAGTTGTTGGCTCCGATCTTAGCTGCAGATGTATAAGAAAGCAACTGTGAATGATTTTGTACAAAGTAAGTCAAACCTTTCTTCTGGATTCTGCGGTATTCCCAGATCTCCGGTGCGTAATTTGCGGCTGATTTCTTCAATTTCTAGTTGAACTGCAAATAAAACGGGTTAGAAGAGAAAGAAAGTCGAGGCATGCCTCAATATTAGTAAACATTATAATTATTCAAAAAAATTTTTTTTTTTACTTTTCATTGATATTTGTAAATCTATATAAAAACAAATTAAAAGTAGAATTTATTATTATTATTAAGATTTAATCAGTTTGTATTAAATTGTGTATATATGCGCTTTTGCTGTCGATGTGTCATGAATTCTCTTTTTTACATTTGGCGATAAAGTCAGCTAGCGGAAAACTGTCTATAAAGCCTCTCACAACCGAGCACAGGCGTAGGTGGTAGGTCCCTCTATGTATACTTACATATTTCTTTGGCAAAATTAATAAAATTTTAATTAATATATGCTTGAATCAACAATGTTATAAGAACTCAAATTATAAGTGATTCAAATTACTTCTTTTTTTTTAGATACTACATCAAAATCCCATGTGTGTTAGGTTAAGATAGCAATTATTCGCTTCTCGATTTTGGTAATTCTGATTTGATCCGTGCATCCTATGCATACGGACGGGAGTTGGCTGTTTAAGACCTTAAAATTTGTCAAAAATCTGATTAGCATAATAATAACTGCTTAAAAAATTAATTACTTAAATAAAAAAATGTAATTTCCAACTAAACCCACACACGATGACCATTTATTCGTAAATGAATTCATTTTGGCTGTTTCCTTTAAAGAAAACGAAATGTTAATAAAGGATTAATGGAAAGATTATAGATTTTGATTTTTGGTTATCGGCTGCCGTTGACTGCAATCTCGACGTGTAACTGTCTAGCCACGATCAAGGTACGTTTGTATGAAGATCGATCGATGAAATATTGCTGTTTTTCGTTATGATTATTTTTAGTGTAAAATAATTCTTAATTCTAATATACTATTTATATGACGTGCAAATTATAATACTTTAAATATATTTATTAATTCCAAGCTCAGAATATATAATTATATAGCTTACCTAAATATGCTTCCTGTTGGGCGGAGTCAAGAGTTGGCGGCAAAATTGTTGGCATTCCTGGTATGAACGTTTTATCATTCTCGGTACCGCCCCAACGTGACCTTTTGCGCCGCTTTCGATCAGTATCGTCCTCTAAAAACGAGTATAAATAATAAACGCATTATAAAATTAGTTTAAAATATATGTATATGTATTATTAATAAAGAAAAATATACAACTCACGGGAATTTTCAGATGGTCCGTTGCTGCACGAGTCATTACTGTTAGAACATTGAAATAGCGCTGCAAAGTTTTTAGTGGAAGTGGTGCTATTCATTAACTCTTGAATAGTCTGTGTTAGATCAAAACCCCTTTCACGGGATTCCTCCTTGATTGTTTCCATGCGATTATCGCGACCATTACGGAAATCAGAATCAACAGCGTTGCTTTGACTACGTTCTCGTTCTCTGCTGTTACGTTCATGTCTACGATTCTCAAAACTGCGGCTTCGTGAACGACCGCCACGGTCACGAACGCGGTCGCGATCACGTCTATCAGAACGGCTATGTGAACGACGTTTCCTACGGTTATCATAGTCATTACTACGTGACCGACTCCGTTTTGAATGACTTCTAGAATGACTACGGCGTGAACGGGAGCTACGATCTCGGTCCCGATCATGGCTTCCCCTTCTACGCTCCCTATCGCGATCACGATCCCGCTCTCTTTCCCTATCCCGATCTCTCTCGCGGTTGCTACGATCACGTTCACGATCACGATCCCTCTTATAACGGTCCTTTTCGCGGCTATCGCGAAAAGGTTCTTGATCTTTACTCTCTCTATCACGATGACGTTCGCGAGATCGATCCCTTTAAAATTTAATATTTACCTTAATCGTATGTATATTTAAAAATCAGAATTTTATATTTAGCTTACCTTTTCTTTCTTTCCCTATCCCGTTCTTTATCTTTTTCACGGCCATCTCGACTGTGGTGGTCTTTGGATCGGGAACGAGACCGATCTGAATTGTCATGTTTGCCACGATAATCGCGTTCGCCATGCCCATTGTCAGACTGCGGCGGCTGCATTTCTCCCGCATTTGAATGCGGCGGAGTCTCACTCATTTCCTTTGGAAATCTTAACTAACAATACCTTTTTAATAAAATGCAACTTTTATATTTGTAAATTCTTTTTTTTTTCCACGATAAATTATTTTTACGAACACAAAACTTTTAACAGAGAAAATTTTCTGACGAGCTTGTCCGTATATGGTCACAGGGTTGATTTTATGGCATTTATCGCAAGTTGCCAGATCAGTTGAATACGAAGAACTATAGTGTTGTTATTAATAAGAAGTGGCAAGATTCCTACTAAAGAACGTTTATTAATTCAATTATGTCATTTGAATATACGTTAATACCGAATTTATTGTTTTATTTCATCATAACGGTATTGATAAATATACCGTCCTTACTTCATCTCTGCTACTGTAAAATGGCCACCTTTAATCAACTCTGTTTCGGATCCACGTGCGACTATGAAATGTCAAACTCATTATTGTTATTGCAATTATTCTACAATATTATGGTTGATATATTAAGTTATTAAATTGTTTAACCAATTGTAAACGATTAATTTATATAAATATGGTGAAAGCAAAGAAAAACAAGAAGGCTCTAGCGGACCGAGTGTATGCATCGAAAAGTAGTGCCGAAGCGAAAGTAAATCCATTTGCTACAGCAAAACCGGCGACCTCGAAGAGATTGAATCCTTTCGAAGTTCACGTAAACAAAGAGAAGTTCCAAATTTTGGGGCGTACTTGTAAACATGATAAAGGCTTGCCGGGTGTATCACGTGCTAAAGCCGTTAAAAAGCGCAAAGAAACACTTGCAGTAGAGTATCAAGACAAACATAAAACAAATAAATTTCATGATCGTAGGATAGGCAGATTCCAAAACAGTGAACAATTGAGTGAAGATGTGATAAATGCACGTTTTGTTGCGGCAAGAGTAGAGCAGCTTAAGCAAAGCAAGGCATCAAGGTTTAACTTGAATGATGATGAGATATTAACACATCGTGGTCAAACACTGGAAGATATTGAACAGTTTCGAGACGAACGCTCTGACGATGAAGATTTGGATGATGAAAAGCTTAATGGTTTGTGATAAAAATTATATTTCAGAACAACATGTATAATATATGTATTTATATATATATTTGCAGCTGAATTTACTGAAGCTGCACACTTCGGCGGAGATCCAGAATTGTCAAAGGATCGACAGACGGCTATAGAAGATATGATAGCCGAACAGAAACGACGAAAAATTGAGATAGCTAAAGAAAAGGATGAAATCCATGATTTAACGGAAAAGCTAGATTCTAATTATAAAGAACTGCTTGGTATAGTAGATAAATTGTCAAAGAAGGAAATGCTGGAAAAGCCGAAGCCCGATGACTATGACAAAGCTTTAAAAGAAATGATCTTCGAGCCAAGAGGCGTGGTTACTGATAAACTTTTATCTGAAGAAGATTTAGCTAAAAAAGAAAAGGAAAGATTAGAAGAACTAGAAAAAGAGCGTTTAAGACGAATGAGAGGCGAAGGAGATGAAGTAGAAGTTAAGTCTAAAGCAACAAATCATCGATCCGCAGATGCGTTAGACGATGGGTATTTCGGTTATGCAGTAGAAGAAGAGGGTGATACGTTGGCATATACTTTAGATGGTTAGTGAATTGATATACTTACATAAGTGAAGTTTAATTTTTGTTGGTAATCGCTCATAATTACTTGTCATAGGTGAATTAGGAACAAAATCAATAGAATACGATTCAAAGGAACTGGAGGAAGAGTCTGTCGAAGTTGATGATAATGAAGATGAAGAGAATGTGGAAAGTGGTGAGGAAGAGGATGAAGGAGAAGAAGATGAATCAGATGATAATAATTCAAGTGCTGAAGATGAAGATGAGGATAATTTAAGCGATTTGAAAGTTAGTGATTCGGAATCGGAAGTCGAAGATAGGGAAAACATAGCTTTACCGCAAAAAGAGGATCGTGAAACAACTGCAGACAGTAAGAAACCGAAGCCCGATCTAGAGAAATATCCGGATCTGCCCTATACAATGGATATACCCAGTAACTATGACGAGTTCCATAAACTAATAAGTAAACGTAAGCCAATAGAACAGGGTGTAATAATCGATCGTCTTATAAAATGCAATCATCCAAAACTGGATGGCATAAACAATAAAGAAAAGATGATAAAACTTTTCGCTTATCTATTACAATATGTAAATGAGTCATTTACAGACGCCTCACAGGATGATATAGCAACCCAGTTTCAAATTTTGAATATACTTAATCCCCACATGTTCGATTTGGTGCAAATGAACCCAGAAAAAATGTCTCAGACGCTTTTGGACGTTATCACAGAGAAATATGCTGATTACCGGAAAAACGTTAAATTATTCCCACCACTAGAAACACTTATATTCTTCAAACTGGTATCGAACTACTGCAGCACTTCAGATTTTCGCCATGCAGTTGTAACACCCTGCTACATATTCATACAACATATCTTATCTAAAGCTCGAGTGAGAACGCGGCAAGAAATCGCTGGTGGTTTATTTTTAGTAACCGTTGCATTTGAATTCTCCCGTCTGTCTAAACGTTTCCTGCCAGCAGTGAACAACTTTTTGCTAGGCATTGTGTATTTGAGTATACCGAAAAGAGCTGTGGAAACAATCAAAATTGTGCCACCTTTCCAGAGCACTGGTCCCATGAGCAAATTATTGGCTATTGCGGAAATCGATGATAAGGAAGCAATGAAGGAAGAGTTATTAAAATCTGAAGATTTGGTTTTGACTACTTTCTCCTTAGATTTTAAAATACGAGCTTTAAATATGGCACTCAAGCTTATAAAAGACATTTTTTCAAATCTAGAAGAGAATATTGGGCCAAATTATTTCGCATTGCCTTTTTTGGAATTATTCGATCGATTACCTTTAGATATTTATCCCGAGTTTCTGCGTGAAAATTTTAATGCTGCAAAGGCTTTGCTGGAACGTGTTACTAAGCTAAAATTAACAAAAATCGTGCCACCCGAAAAGAAACCTAAAGCGCTGCGTCTACTCGAGCCGCGCATAGAAGTTGTTTACGATGACAAGCGACGACCACGCTTGACCAAGGAGAAGGAGGAACGAGCTAAGTTGATTCATAAGATACGCCGAGAAACTAAAGGCGCTATTCGGGAAATTAGAAGGGACACTGAATTCTTGCAAAAGATGCGTTTGGACCAACAAATTAAAAGGTATAAATTTTTTCATCTATTTTATATTTTTGAATTTAACAATGCTTACATTTTCACAGTGACATGGAGCGCAAAGAGAAGGTCAAACGTATTTATCAAGAAGCATCAATTCAACAAGGGGAACTCAACGAATTGGATCGTATTAAAAAGAAAAAGAAATTCTAACTATTCTAAGCCACAAATAGATTTCTTACTAGTTATAATTGTTTATATGCTGTCCAAATTAATAACAAAACTATAGTATATGAAATTAAAAATATGAAGGCGGAATTCGGTCTGAAATTTTGAAAAAATTGAAAAAAAAATTTGTCATAAAAAGTCTTTGAAATAACATACCTAAAGATGGATGCCGGCAAAAATGTCTAATTGCCCAAATTTTTCATTCGACGGCCTCGCAGATATGCCCCAAGCTCCATTTAACTTTAAACGCGGTTTTCTCGAAATCACTTTTTTTAAACTGGCCAAAAATATGACTCGAAAAAATCTGTACCGATTCTTGCGAAATTTTGACAGTACATTCAAAATACCGATCTCCAGAAACGTAATAAGCATTTTTAAATTTTAATTTTTTTATTAATTTACTTTTATTTATTTATTTCTTTGATTTGTTTTTTTTTTATTTATTTCTTTGATTAGTTTTTTTTTTATTTATTTTTTCATTTATTTTTTTTTTATTTATTTTTTCATTTATTTTTTTTTTAATTTTTCATTTTATTTATTTTTTTAGTTTTTTTTATTTATTTATTTATTTTTTTTATTTATTTTTTTTTATTTATTTTTTTTATTTATTTTTTTTTTATTTATTTATTTTATTATTATTTTATTTATTTATTTTTATTTTATTTAGTTTTTTATTTTTTTCCTTTGAGTCAAAAAAAAAATTCCGGAAATATTTCCCAAAGTTGAACGATCGATTATAAGTACCATAGCCCGGAACTGAAATTAGCGATTAATTTTGTATAAACGATTAATTTTGTATAAACGGTGCGTGATCCGAGATCAAAGGTTTTTATTTAGCTTTCTCCCTAGAGGACGAAAGGCTGGCTTAGGACAAAAATAAAGAGTCATTGTAGTCAGAAGCATAATAACATACTTTGAAGGCAGTATTTGTTAGACGCTTCAAGCCAAATATGTCTGAACTACACTCAAACACAATGCGCAAAGAATCAATAACCTCAATTCCCTTCCCACATTTGCGGGCGAAGGACTCGAGCTGCCTCTTGAGATCGTGCCCGACAATACCCATCTCTTTGCATTCAACATTAAATCGACTCCTTTGACGCCACTCTTCTGCTAGACCCAGCCCGCCGAAATTGCAATTTTTCCGAGAGATGTAAAGGTGGCATCGCCTAGCTTTCCTTGCATCTTAATTGCGTGCACTGTGCACTGCAGGCAAGCAAGGAGGAAAACAACTACTTTACGAGCCCTCGGCTGAGATTTGGATATTGTATCCGATTAGGCTTCTATGTCTTTAAACTAAAACCCGACATACCTAACATATGCAACAAATCGCCACGCGCTAACGAACAGCTTCCTCTAACATCTCGCTACCTTTGGTCCGAACTCGTCGCAACAACAGAGCCACCCTTACAAATCTCTGATGAATTGTTTAGATTAACTTGTTTTTGAACGGGATTTACCCAGCGGCCGCAACAACAAAGTTAATGCCCGTACCGTAGGGACTTTAAGGATTGCATTCAGCACCACTTACAAGAACCGCAGCACAGAAAGGCTTACCGATCTGTTCATAGAGTCCGGCAACACCTTGCCGAATTCTATTTCAGTGAGTAGCGTTCTCGGAATCAAAGCACCACCTACCTGCTGACGAAGAACTCGAGCTGCCTAGTGAGATCTGAATATTGTAGTAAATAGATCAAACTCCTTCCTATCCAACTTTGACTCCGACATACGAAACGTATGGCCTGCATGGAATGAGTCCCTGCCCGATACCAACGACCTCTTTACATGCGCTTTAAAACCAACTTTTATGATCCCCCTTTCCCCTTTGGCTTGAATCCGTCGAAACTCTTCGTTTCCTGGACCTCCCGTTAGTTGACCTCAATGACTTAGGCAAAAAAGCTCCTCATAAAAATCCATCAGCCGTTCGGAGACAGCTTTGAAGAGACCGTAGTTTTTTTTCATTCTGGTATTGATTGCTGATAAGAAAAATTAATTCATAATTAGATTGTGAAACTAATGATTCTGACTCATAACCTGCAATCACTTCATTTCTCTCGTTATTTTCTCTTCCATACTCTTTTTATTAATATTTTTTTAACAGTTCACCGCTCAACCGCTTCGTAACATTTATATTTCTCCCCTTTATTTGAGCTAAATTTATTGTTATTGAAACAAAATAGTTAATAATGTAAGCGCAGGAGAGATAGTGTTAATCTTTAATAGTATATAAATTATGTATGATAATATTTGTAATTTTTAGATTGTTTATATTACATACAAATATATCTGTTGTTTTCTACGTTATCTCGGAAAATATTTAGGTATGATTATTTTAAATGACCACTTAGAAAATAAATGCATAAAAAAATAATAATTAAAACAGTCTCACACATACATAAGTAAATCTGCAAAGGAAGATTTAAACTAGAACAAAATTGATGAAATTATTTTCCGGAAATTTCGCGACATCTCAAGGTAGCGGCTTCTACCGCATTTGAAACAGTACCGCGAAAACCTGTTTTGAAATAAAAAAAAAACATATGTACATATATGTTTAAATATCTAAAAAAATACATGAATAGCTATATTTTAACGTCAGAATATGCTAAAAAGAAATTGCGCCTAAAATTGGTATTTTTTAAAAAATTATTTTCTTGTTTAAAACAAGGCTGCATCGTCACGATAAATAATCCAAAAAAAAAATCAACCGATTCGGTTGAAACCTTTTGAAATACTTTCGTGAAAGCAGTTATCAAAATCAGCCATAAGAAGTCTGATGAAGAGATGTGGTGAGCTTCGAAACAGCTGTCACTTCTTCCATTTTTCTTTGTTGTATAACAAATATACAATTCATACAAACAACCAGACCTCGTAGTTTACTTAATAATTATATCAAAAAATCAGTTTTATTTCGTTTTTACACGAAACCCGAAAGGAAATGCTGTCGTTCATGTTAAATTGGTAACAGATAATGTTAGACGTTAAAATGGAAGTGTTCTGTTAATATCATAGCAAGCAGCCATTTCAAAACTAACGCTAACGATGAGTTTGTGCAGTTTTAGCATTTAAACCCGTTTTCACAATGTCCGATTATCTTAACGTTTAACCCGAGATAGGTAACCGCCAGACAGGCTGATGAGACGCTTTCGTTTTCACCAAGTTCTGGTTACTTAACTTTTGCAGGCCTATTCTGTCGAGGTAACAAAATTTACCTAGGTATTAAAATTTACCTAGGTATTAAAATTTACCTAGGTATTAAAATTTACCATTCAGTAAATTTTGTTACCACTTCGTATTCTGAGCTCACTGTTACCCCGTAAATTTTGTTACCAGCGAAATAGGAGGTAACAAAAAAATCGACTGTTTGATTTTGTGTTATAAGTTTGAGAAAAACTAAAAAACCAAAATGGGTAGGTATATTTTAGGCCTGGCATTCATTGAAGATGAAGAAAAAAGTGCAAAAAGGCGTAGTTTAAGAAGTTTTCGAGACTAAAAAATAATTTTAATTAATTTGTAAGATAACGTTTACATTTAGCTTTTTTTGTTGTCCAGGCATATTTTCCATAATTACGCTTCAATATTTATGATTTAATAAACAAATTAATAAAACTTTTTAATTTTTTTGTGCACCGTCTTCCATTTTGATGTGAATATTTTTCTTTTTACTTTATCAACTGGCAGAAGTATTGACATGGACGAAAAAAGCAGTGCTGCCAAATTTTATTCAAACATTGTAATCAGTTCGCCAGAACACCAAATTCAATTTCGGGCGTTAAAGTAAAGTAACAAAATTTACTTTTCATGTAACAGTGAGAATAGGCCTGTTGATTAGTATGAACGTTGTGAATATTTTAAGGTGAATTCGCAAAAATTTGCATTGTGAAAAAAACTGCATGGCAGCCGGTATTTGCCTACAATTTTCCAAAATATATGGCTGAGTAATTCTTAAGACCCTCAGTTATCTCTTTTATTTTTGATATTTTAACGTTTGGTTATGGGAGAAATTGTAATTTAATGATTTTTGTAAAAAATTGCTTTGATGGTTTTAAATTACATGCACAAAATGTATGTGCGGTCAGGTCCAGAACCAGGTCATCTGCATGCAAAGTCCATTACTTCCATTTTACAAGTACCCTTTTCTGCGTCGATAATTTTCGGCATTTTCATCTCCAGTTGATTGGATACTGACTGAGTGCAATCTAAACACCCCAAAATCTTTAAAAACTTTGCTAATCGTTGAAATGTTTACATTATGCTCTCAATGTCCCTGCTTTTTTCGCTATTCTGAGGTATGATTGGACAAGTGCCGCGGTAGCAATGGATACTGTTTACCACACGACTGGCAGTCGCCACTTTTATTGCACCTAACACCGGAACACAAATTAAAACACTTCCCGATGCATAAAAACGTAATGTAAAGAGCAAAATTTCCCCCGCTTTATTCCTGCAAAACCAAAGAAATTATCAACAATCTTTATTTACTCAAAGCACACCACTTTCACAAACCTTTCAGCGTTGCTTCTAATTTTAAAAACTTCATCATATTTCTAAATAAAAAAAAATATTTGTGTACGGCACGTTTTTTCCCTATAAATACGCATCTGAATCAACGCAGCCAGATAGGCTGTGTGCTTCATATTTTCCATAATAAAATTTACTTTAAAGCCAACGCCTACTATACTACTATTTTTTACTATTTTATTTATCATTTCACAATTTCCAGCTGTCAAATTATCTTCCGGGTAAGAGCTAGTAGCCACTCAATGTTGGCTTTACGTTCACAACTTAATTGACAGATGCGCCTTAAACGGACATTGTGAAAAGGAATTTTATGTTTCCGATTAAGTTATGATTAAGTGCTTAACCGGAGATGGTGAAAACGGCCCTAACAGTCTCTTTTCATTTCGATAACATGCCGCCGAAACGATGCCATTTCATTTCGTTAAGTTTATATTTCATTTCGTTAATTTTATATTTCATATTAACGAAATAAAATGGCATCGTTTCGTTAGTTGAGCATTTCTGGTTCAAAATGAAGCGTTTTTCGGCAGGCACATAACTTTTTAGATTAACTACTATGTAAATACCTGCTGTTTCCAAAACTTTAAGCGCCGCAGCAGTTGATCCAGCGGGGCTGGTAACATTATCTTTCAGCAAACCGGGATGTTCCTTTGTGTCGCGTACCAATTGCCCCGCACCCAAGACAGTTTGGGCAGCAAGACGATAAGCTAAATCACGCGGCAAACCCATACGCACTCCACCGTCTGCTAAAGCTTCGATCATAACAAATACATAAGCCGGTCCACTGCCGCTCAAAGCTGTGATGGCATCAAAATAGCTCTCGGGCACTTCCTCACAAGTGCCAATCGCTGCCAAAAGTGATTTTGTTAGCTCACCATCAACTTGACTGGCTTTGGTGCCGCGCGCAAAGACCGAACAGCCAGATCTTACGAGTGCTGGTGTATTGGGCATAGCACGTATGACGCGCGCTTCTGAGGATAAGTTCTTTTTTTTTTGCAGGAATATATAATTTTAGTAAATAACATTTAATAGTTTTTTAATGCTCACCTCTTCTAACACCTTCAACGTTATGCCCATGGCTATTGAAATAAACAACTTGTTATTGCTTAAGGGTCTCATTTCGGGCAAAATAATAGGCACTACTTGCGGCTTAACTGATATGAATATAATATCCGATTTCTCTACAACCGGTGCGTTCTCGACAACTGTTTCAACGTTTATTTGCTATTTTGTAAATGTGAAAGGTTCTCGTTTTAAGGAAGATTTGAAAACTTTCGAAACACATTCTCTTGACTTTACCTCGAATTGTTTTAGACTCTGCTTGTCGTCAGGGTGCACACTAGCAATTACATGCTCGGATTTGGTAAGACCTCCACAAAATAAATATTAATATGAATTCAGTTTTTTCTTTTTTTTTTATAATTTCCATAATAATATTGTTTATTGTTTTTACCAGCTGACAGGAAGCCCTTCACCATTGCAAGCGCCATTTTCCCGCCACCCACAACTCCGATTTTGCCTACTTGATTCATGTTTATTATTATTAGAAAAATTAAAATGTATATGTTTGATGTGTTTAGAAAATAAAAAAATAAAAATATTTTTTTAATTTTGCACTTTGGTTCTTTACTCCTCAAAAGCTAGACACTTATTGAACGCCTAACACCGCTAGAATTCCGAATGCTTGATAAGAGAGTAAAGTCTGATAAGCCGTGAATGTGATAAGCTCAATACGCGTACACTGGGCAATAGCCAACGAATTGCTGCCGATATCAGTTTTGCGTCCCAATAATATTATATTTGAGCAATCATTGCAAGTAACTATGTATGTACATACGTAAACAAACAAAAGTAAATTGAATTAAATGTGAGCAGGCTGCAAAATGTAGCTGAATAAATGCTTCGATTGATAAGAATTAGTGGAGAATAATATGTACATATATACTCGTACATATGTACATAATTGTTTTGAAATGTAGTGTTGGCGTATACCACGCCGTTAGTTTTGCTTTCTTTAGCGGAACGAATGGGTCTGGCAGTGAACGGGGACAAGGCGAAACATCTCCAGTCATCATACCCGACTCGGTTCCCACGTCATTGTTGACAGCCATAACTTCGAAGTCGTAGATAATTTCGTCTATCAAGGAAGCTGATTTAATACCAACAATAAAGTAAGCCTGGAAATCGAATGCAGTGTTACTCTTGCCGACAGGTGCCAATTTCGACTGAGGCAGGAAATTGAAAAGTTAGGTATTTTATCGACGAGCAAAAACTAAATTCTCATCATTCCCATCCCACTATATGGGGCAGAAACGTGGACGCGGTCTTCGGGGTCTTCGTGAAAAAAGTTTTGCGAACGATTTATGGTTCCATTGCGCATTGGCAACAGTGAATACCGCAGACGATGGAACGATTTGTTGTACGAGTTATACGATATATTTATACGATATAGTAAACGAGTTGATTAAATTCAAGACTAAGGGATATCGGTTACGATGGCTAGATCATGTTGTCCGAATGGAAAGATTCGATGCAGGATCTCCTGGTAGAAATAGAGGAAAAGGAAGACCTCAACTCAAGAGCGGGACCGGGGCGTGCCGATTGATATATGTTCCACCTACGGGATTGCTAAGAGACTATTTTACCTCTATACGATATTAATTAGAGACTGTTTCACCTCTAGTTAACAGCGAACTACCATAGATTGACAAATTATTTACAGAAGAATGATATTTGGGAGACAATTATTTTATTAACTTATTATTATCTTGCTCAGAAATGTTGACAAACACGAGTCGATTTCGGGCGGCAGTGGTGAAATAGTCTCTTATTTCTTACGTCGATTCTAGCAGTTCACATGCTGTCCTCAATCGGTCCTTTTCGTTAGTTGACGTTCTTTGGATTGTGTAAGCGGTGTCCACTCCAATGAAGAAGAGGAAGAATAAACTTAAATTAAAAACTTTAATCTCTTTATTTGGAAATACTGTTAAAATTATTTCCGATATAATTTTGAAGTTCTTGCAGTTAGTAAATCATGCTTTTGTATATGTATATACATATGTACATATGTATATCTACTTCTTTTTAATTCCTTAATATCCTCGTGATCACGCTGCTAGCCAGTTTGTCATTTCCGTTTTCAAATTATAGCGGCTCAAGATTTTCACATAAAAAGGGTTGCCAGAATTTTACACGTATTTACGCTACGTTTTCATTCATTCAAAATTTTTGTTATCATATTTTATTATATATTCTGCCGATTTTGCTAAATTAACTTCGTAGATTTCCCAAATACATCGAATTCGATCACTGGATTGTTAATTAAAAGTCACCAAATTTATTGTACAACAACTTTATCAGAACATAAAAACCAGAAACTCCTTATCAAACTTGTAGTGTCTGTCTTCGCTCTTATATACCTGCCGATTGCTCAGATACCTCTCTGGAAAGTTCGTCAGGAAATGTTCTTGAACAGTCAATTCCCGCGCTCTAGAACGTCGCTCTCGCTCTTTCATCTGACTTTCGCATTTGGCATGTTCAATACCGCAATAATTAGCCAACATGAATTACTTGTTTGATGCGTACGAACCTTTACCAATATTTTTTGATGATTTGCGTTTTATATTTTATATTTCACAACCCTTTTTTTATAAGTTTATTAAATTGTTAAAATGAAAAATTTCAAAATTAACTTTAAGATCAGTTACACTCACCATGACACCATGAACTTAAATTTATTTCATAAGATATTTTGAGAACATTATTAACCTAAGCTTAAGAGCACTTTAAAGAAAAAAAACTTCAGACTTTGCACGAAGAATTGGAAATTTAATTTTTGCATGTTTGATATGAAACTATTATTTCAGGATACTGGCCTGCTGAAAATTAAAAATTAATGTAGAAATTATTGTGCCTAATGACACTTTAAGAACCAGAACGGCAAATGTTGCCAACGATTTATTCTATAATTATTTTGAGCAAATGAAAATTGGAAAAACGTCAATTTGATATTTTGAGCTTTTATATTCCACCAAAGAACATATGGTAAGTTAAATTAAATACGCTCCGTGATAATTCCAAATTCCTGAATCGCCCCACTGTGCTGTGATAACGTGAAAATTATCGATTAATCACTAGTGTGCTCTCTAATAAAAAACAAAAACTATAATAGTTTTGTTATTTTACCCGCTCTTGTCTATATTTTCCGAAGAAGCAATTAAAAACTTCACTGCCATATAAAAATAAATAATTTGATATCGAATATTGTTAAAGAATTATCTCGTATATATCTAATAGAAACGAATACCGACTTCCCTTTTGTGGGACACATCATCGCTTTTTGTGTTTATGTGTTGATCGCTTAAGTTCCTACAAACAGGTCGGGGTGGAGAAGACGGCGGAAGTTAAAAATTTCTAATTATTTTGTGCAGGTAAACGGCATCAATATTAATATGTAGTTAACCTCATAAGAAATGAGTGTAACAAGATTTAAGCTCGCTTAGACAAAGTCAAGGTCAAGTTAGTAATTGTTTAGTTTATGGGCAAGTGGATGAAGCTGCACTTAAATGTAATATTGTATTTACATTGAGTAATTTCACTAAAGTAAACATATATTTCTACGCATATATATACATATATATGTACATATACTACGTATTCATATAAACTATTTAGCATGATAAAAGAAGTTGATAGTGGTGAGAAAGTTCTAAAACGAATTTATTACATTCTAGTGATGAATTACATATTTAATTAATTTAGGGAAAAATACCTTAACTTTTAAGTTATGATCCTTTATTAATTTTCACGTTAAATATAGGTACACACGACGACAAAAAAGATGACTTCAACAAAACCACGGAAACAACCGACTGCAATATCTCGTATGAAGCAAGATTATATGCGATTAAAGCGTGATCCTTTGCCGTATATAACAGCAGAGCCCTTACCCAATAACATTCTCGAGTGGCATTATGTGGTAAAAGGCCCAGCAAACACACCTTACTATGGAGGTTACTACCATGGAACCTTGCTTTTTCCTCGAGAATTTCCTTTTAAGCCTCCTTCAATTTATATGTTGACACCAAATGGCCGATTTAAGACTAATACACGCCTTTGCCTTAGCATATCAGGTATTTTATTATTTGTAGTAAAGTCTTATTCATTTATTTCTACTTATATTCACATTCTATTTCTTAATCAGACTTTCATCCTGATACTTGGAATCCAACTTGGTGCGTCGGTACTATCTTGACTGGCTTGCTAAGCTTTATGGTATGTGCATACATATATGATCAGATATGATTGTCTTATACTGATAAACCAATATAAATATTTATATTGTAGCTTGAAAGTACACCAACCCTAGGTTCAATCGAAACAACGATTTATGAGAAACAAAGGTATGCTAGAAAGTCTTTGGAATACAATTTAAAGGACCCAATCTTCTGTGAGTTGTTCCCCGAAGTATGTGAAGAAATTAAAAAGCTATTGGAGGACGAAAAGCAAAAGTTAGCTATGCTTAAAGGAAAATCTCACTCTGCAAGTTTAGATGATAAAACGAAAAATTTTAAAACTAATTGCGCCAATGAAGCTAATGATGCGCTACAAGGAAAGTCAGATGACAGTAAAAAACGAAAGCCAAAAATTAATTGGCCCGGTATATATTCAAATCTGGTCATTGGTATAAGTTTTTCCATATTTGCTTTGGTAGTGAATTATGTGATTAAGAATCTAAATCAGGAATAAAGTTTAACCAAGACATGTTAGAATAGCCGCTAAACACCTGCCCATTGGTAACAGTTTGCACTAATTAATGTATGTATATGTAAATAAAAAAAAAAAACCTAAACACGGCTTAATGTTACGATCCAGTCATAGCTGTACTATAATTTGCTGATCTCTGAAAAGAGAAATGGAATAGAGTTTTTAATTAGATTAAGAGGCAACCTTTTAAAGACTTAAATAAAAGTGTTGTTTCGGACCTAATCGATTGACTATAGCACTTTTGATGCAGTATCCACATGTATATACATATCGTTTTGACTCGTGCTGACAGAGTTCAATATTATTTGGGAATTAATAGTTCAAACAAGTCAAATAGGTGTTAAAGCGAGTTAAACTAAATGTTATAATTTATATCACTATTTATTTTGGAATCGAAAGTCCCATTACTAATGGGTACACCAATAACAATGTCTTCATATATGTATTTGATACCGAAAATAATATTGTGTTTTATTTGATATACGCACATATATTCCTGGTTTCTCGATTCGTTCTTTTGTATTCCTAAAATTCTCATATCTTGAAATATACCCACATTTCATTTGTTTACATACATAAAGGTAATTTTAATGTCAGGCAATTGTTTTCTATGTAGTCATATAAGAACGCAATGCACTTGGAAGCAACCCTGCGTGCTAGCATTTAACGCATCTGTGTTTATTCACAGCTGACTTCCGAATAATCGGTTTAGGTACATCTCTACAACGAAGTAAAAAAAACAAAGAACTATTTTCTACCTGAATCTATATAAAATTGCTATAGTAAAATCATACTGCTTCCGAAATAAATTTAAGAAGTTAAAACTATCGAACACATTTCAAGCTGTCTGTAATACTTTAATATAACTTCGGTCATTATTCTTGAACTATAAAAGCCGTGCATTTGCACTATTTTTGTTTGGAGACATTGGGCGAAGAAAATTAATTTCGTAGTGATTTTATAGTAAGGTAAGTTATAGTGCTAGAAATATGAATTGTATAAGCAACCTCAAGTGCCATATGTAATTTTTATTAATTACACCTTAATTTGTAGCCACAAGAATTGCAAGGTCAAATCAATTGTAAGAAATGTAATGATATACTTTTGATTGATGTTCTTTAAACTTTTCCTTACTGAAGTTTCAAAGTGAAAGTGATCCAAATGTAATATATATTATGGCAACAAAGCAACGACAGTGAAAGCAAATTTTTTAGAGATTTAGAAATATATAATTTTCATCTTTGTTTGCGTTGTACAACTTAAAATCTTTATTGTTACAGCGATTTCAGAACCAAGGAAATATGTCAGCGACAACGAAGCCTCGAAAGCAGCCAACTGCTATAGCGCGTATGAAGCAAGACTACATGCGGTTAAAACGGGACCCCTTGCCATATATATCAGCTGAACCATTGCCAAATAATATACTCGAATGGCATTACGTGGTGAAAGGGCCGGCTAATACACCTTATCACGGCGGATATTATCACGGAACTTTGCTATTCCCGCGCGAATTCCCATTTAAACCGCCATCAATTTATATGCTAACACCAAATGGACGTTTTAAGACAAATACGAGACTTTGTCTAAGCATATCTGGTAAGTTATCAAATAAATAAACACTCGTGAAAATTTTAATATATGTTTGAATTTTCTTTTGAAGATTTCCATCCAGACACTTGGAATCCAACATGGTGTGTTGGCACTATACTCACAGGATTATTAAGTTTTATGGTATTACACATGATTTTAAAGAAAAAAAATGTTAAGTATGTACTTAATTGAAATATATGTTTTTTCAGTTGGAGACAACACCGACACTTGGGTCAATCGAATCAACACAATATGAAAAAAAGCAATATGCTAAAAGATCGCTTGCGTTCAATTTAAAAAACCAAAACTTTCGTGAATTGTTTCCAGAAATATGTGAAGAAATCAATAAAAGTTTAGAAGAAGAGCAGCAACCTCTGGTTAAGGATGTAGAAACCCTGACAAATGGAGTAGGCGGAAAAGATAGTAGCAATAGTGAAATAGTCAATGGTGATATTAGTGTGCGAGATGGTAATACCGAAAATATACAAAACCGAGGAAGTGGTGCAAACAGTACTGCTAATTCTTTAATTAATTGGCAAGCGATATATTCAAACATAATAATTTTAATATGTTTTGCAATATTTGCATTAGTGGTAAATTATGTGATCAAGAATATTAATCAAGAATAGAAATGTTAAAAAGAGAACTTTTCATTCACTAAAAAATTCTTGTAATACCCACTGATACATACATATATACATAGATAATTTCTCACACTGTATTTCATTCCTCTACAAAACATTAAAAAATATATACATACACATATACAACAAAAAAATACATAGTATATTCACAAACACGTATGTATCTATAACTGATATAAGATTGTATTATAAAAAAAAAGAAAAAATGCAGCGCTAGTGTATAAATTAAGCAACACATTTTTATTTGTAAATATTAGCCTTATGTAAAGTTGATTTCACTCAAATATCAATAATACTAAACGTACGTATATGGGTTCTCCGTAGCCCTGAGAAATAAAATCAAATAAAGTCGGTAAATTATTTAATTGTGTAGTTTTTTTAAACAAGATTATAAAATATTTTTATTTAACAACTTTTGTGATTACTGTTACTAGCGATATAATATAATATGATAGGTTAGATATTTCAGCGTTTAAAGAAAAAAAGCAGTTTCGAGCAAGTTTGAATACCAAAAAATATCCTAACATCAGAACAACATTATGTGATCTTTGAAATAGGCCGCAATGACAAAATTGGTATGAAAACCTTAAAAATTTTCTATAACTTTTTGGATTTACATTCATTTATATTGATCTGCCCATAATTTTAGTGGTTGTTAAAGCAAATGAAGTGGTGGATACGCTTACTTAAAGATATTGAAAAAATTCAACATAGTATCTATTTCTATTAAAGCCACGAGAAATGCACAAAAATAACAGAAAATACTATAAAGTAAAAGCTAAAACGTAATATGTCCAACTAAAACGGAAATAGGAAAAGTGAAGAAGTGGGGAGGATGTATTCAGTTAGTACAATAAATGTTGCAAAGTTTAGAATTTGTCGTAAGTTTATGATGACTGCCAGGCTTGTTTGCATGCTTCTTGCGAGATTGTAGGTGGAGACGATACTTTCCTTTACCGGCACACAACGCTGCGTACTTTTAGATATATATATATATTATATATGTATATATATATTATAACTTTGGTTTGAGTATGCACTTTGGCGGGTGGTTGTGGGGATGGACAACTTCCGGCACAAAGCGGATGTAACTGTTTTACTAGGCTTGTTGCGCCATTAACGTTTGGGTGACAGTTGTAGTGGAAAGAAAACGAAAGAAAAAACGAAGCGGAACTCAATTGAAACTTTATTTGTTCTCTTATTTTGTACTAATCGTACATTTTCCTTTTTGCACATTTCCGCTAAACGCAAATTAGATTGTGCTGTAATGGTTAGAGACAACAACAACAACAAGAACAGTAAATAAGCTTTATCACTGGGAAATGATGTTAATAAAATATTGTGTGATAATTTAATAAATAAATATTATTTAATAAAAGCAAACATACAAACACATTTACATAGATACATAGTATATGTATATACATATTATTAGGTAATTGATTGAATAAATTGTTACGTGAAAGTTTTTGAAATTGAAGACCATTTATTGCAAACCACCGATTACCCGATAATAGCCGGATCAACAATAGCCTGTCATTATTTCCCTCTCTTCGCTATTTGGCGCCAGTTGGAAATACCAAGTGAAACCAGGTCTTACTCCACTTAATCCTTTCAATGAAGTTGAGGTCTACCTCCACTTGTTCTTCCATCAGCGGATACTGCATTGAGTTCTTTCAAGGCTGGGGTGTATTCTTCCAATCGGACGATATCACCTAGCCATCCTAGCTGCTATCTCTTGATATCAATGATTCTTGAACTATATCAACTCATGTGCTATATCGTATAACTTTATGATGTAAATAACGAATTTCGATTTTTTTGTGGCGTTATGTTGCTACTCATGTCTGTCACTTATGCCGACAAGCTCAGCCATTTGAAATGTTCACTTAATTGTTCCTTTGCTTGCACGTGTTTTGGATGGTCTTCGATTTTTACCTATTCAAAAAAATGGATCAAAGAACCTGTACCAAATTTTGTGTGAAAAACGAAATAAAGTGCGCGGATGCATTCCGAATGTTGACTGTGGCATACGGAGAAGCTACCTTGGACCGAAGCAACGTTTATCGGTGGTACAAAATTGTCTTAGAAGGCCGAGAAGATGTGAACGACGAAGACAACAGACGAAAAAATTAATGAATTGGAGAAATGGTATTGCCACAGGGTAGAACGGTCAATAAGGAATATTAACTGCAAGTTCTGCGCAATTTACGCGAAGCATTCCGCCAGAAACACCCGGATTTGTGGAAGAACAAAAATTGGCTATTGCACCACGATAACGAACCTGCTCACACATCGTTGCTTGTGCGCGACTTTTTGGCCAAAAACAACACACTAATGATGCCGCAGCCACCGTATTTCCCGGATCTGGCCCCCTGTGACTTTTTCTTGTTACGCTACGATTGACGAGATAAAGACGGCATCGAAGGAGGATCTGAACAAGATAAAAAAAATGATTTTTGGAAGTTTGGCACAAGTGTATATCTATTGGCTGTCAACAGTGATGTGGGAGTCGAGTCACGACTGCGATGACTGTTTGCTTGTTGACAGGAGATATTTCGTCTTGTCCTAGTTCACTACCAGACCGATTCGCTTCGCGGTGTGGTTATTAAACCCTATGATACCATTGTCATCGGAATACACCAGTAGGTTGGACACTCTTGTAAGTGATTGTGGTTTGTTTATTTGGCTCTGCAGCTCTTATTATTTACATTAGAATAAAATTAAAGGATTCATACGATAAAGAGTCAACTTGTCTGAAACCTCCTTTGAGCACCAAACGGTCCTTTCCAATTTTGAGCGCGTTTTGGTTTGGTCCAGCCAGTTGACCTAGCCGTATAAGTTTTGCAAAAATAACAAACTCATTAATAAACAAACTCAGACGAAAGCAGCTTTAAAATCAATGAAAATATGATGTGTATCGACTTCGTTGCCACGGCCCTTTTCCAAGATTTGGCGCACAATAAATATATATCTGGTCAATGGCTGATTTATCGGATCTAAACCCAAGCGGATGAGGTTCAACCAGTTTTTTGGGCTTTAGTCTTTCGCAATGGGAACTATTGTACATAAGGTACTATCAATACTATTTATGAGGCTAATTCCACGTTAATTGGCGCGGGCAGTAGGGACCCTTTTTATGTATTAAACAGTGCACTCAAAGAAGCTGTGTACATGAACCTTGTCAGCTCTCCAGCGCCATGTTTAGAATAGCTTTGCCGACAAGCGTCTAGTGGCTTTTTTGTTCTTTAAAAGGAGGCTGTGCAGTAAAATCGACTTCTGGCAGTAAAAGGGTTAAAGCGCAAAGTTTATGATTTTTAAACTAAGAACCGTCGTTTATAAGATTTTCTTGAATAAACGATTTAGGCAGATTTGGTTGATAGCTCCAGCAGTAGTCTACCGTCATATGTGACTTCAGTCAGTGATTTGAAGAACTAGTATTTTTCAAGAGTTGCCTAGTCCTTGGTTCATCAAAAGAAAAAAAAAAATGAAATCAAAAGTGATACCTAATTTTATGGTTTTGTTCCGGTTCACAAGAGATCATCAAAATATTTAGATGTGGTGAGTTGTGCCTATCGTAATTTCAATTGAGGTTGTCGAGCGAAAAATAAGTTAGAATATTAAACCCTTTCTATACACTAGTCAAAAACTAGTTCATTTAGGCATGCTGAATTTCTGTTTCACCAAAAAATAGAGGTTAATAAAAATATCAGGTGTACAACTTTGCTTCCGCCGTTTTTTTCCAAAGTTAAAAGTTTTATTGCGAAAAAGTGCTTACAGATATATTATTCAAAGTATTGTCCTTCGCTAGCGACAACTTTCTCCCATCTATCCGGCAATTTTCGGATCCCAGCTCGAAAAAAGGAGTCCTCTTCTGACGCTATCCATGAAGCAATCCATTCTTCCAATTCTTCGAAGGATTGAAAATGTTGATCTGCCAGGCCGTGTGAAATCGACGCAATAGGTGCAAGTCAGAAGGGGCGACATCTGGGAAATACTGCGGCTGGGGCAAGACTTCCCATTTCAGCGTTTCCAGGTACTTTTTGACCCCTTTTGCGACGTGAGGCCGAGCATTGTCGTGTTGGAGGATAACTTTGTCATGTAGCTCTTGATATTGTGGACGCTTTTCTTTTAGCGCGCGACTAAGGCGCATCAGTTGCGTTCGGAAGCGACCTCCTGTGATGGTTTCACTCGGTTTTAAGAGCTCGTAGTAAATCTTTGAAGGTTCTTTCTCTTCCACCACCACGTTTGTCTTCGACATTATAATCACCATTTTTAAAACGTTGAAACCACTCGCGACACGTTCTTTCACTCAGAGCAGCATCACCGTAAGTTTCTGAGAGCATTCGATGCGCTTCAGCTGCATTTTTTTTCGAATTGTAACAGAAAAGTAAAACTTCGCGCAAATGGCGAGAATTAGGCACATAAACGGACATTTTCGAGCGTGAATAATACAAAAACAAGAGCAACTGTCACTGAAATGGCGATGACAATTCGTTAGGCACTGTCCACACTCACTTTAAAGGCATTATCATCTATGTATTTCAACCAGCCTCAGCCGGTACAGCCACCTATCGTAAAACGGCGGAAGCAAAGTTGTACACCTGATACATTTTCCAGCAGGGAGACCAACAAACCGAATTCCACCTCACGCGCTACAGCGATATCCTCTAACCACTAGGCGATCATTATGATATGTAATCTTCAAACATTAAATTATATGGACCGTACTATTGACTCATGCATATTTCTGAATTTTATGTGTTTTTTTTTTTTGAAAAACTTTCTAATAGCTTTTAAAAAATCGCTCTTTAGAACAGCGAAAATTTTGCACTTCAACAGAGTTTATGAGGAAATAGAGCTCAAGATTTTGTCCAAACATTTTCGAGTAGCTCAAGCATTTAGGCAACAACTACTCACACACTTGTTCATTGCTCATTGCTCGAAACACCTCAGACAAATATTAGGTTGTCAAATATCTCCCTTCCGTTTTTTCGTCTTTTGAATTTCGCGGCTATGTATAAAGCGCTACTCGTATCTGGCAACACCATACATAATTTGAAAGGTCTTGACATAACCTACAAAATAACGCTATGCATGATTAGTTTTGATATTGCGTTCAACAGTTATAGACGTGTAAACATGGAGTTCACTAACGCCGAAATTCGCGCTATTTTAAAGTTTCACAGACGATTAATTCTACCATCTACTGCGAACAACTGGACCGTTTGAAGCAGGCGATCGACCAGAAGCGTCCAGAATTGGCCAACAGGAAGGGTGTAGTGTTCCACCAGGACAACGCCAGACCACACACTTCGTTGATGACTCGTCAGAAGCTACGGAAGCTCGGATGGGAGGTTTTATC